CTGAGTTTCAGATGCAACCGAGTATTGATTATATCACACGTGGGAATGGTGATAAATTAACAATATAAACATTATAAATAGAAAAGCAAGAAAATCAAGAAAGAAAAAAAAAATAGCAAAATAAAAGTCTGTGTGCTTTTAAAATCTGAGGAGAGTAAAACTAGTTAGAGCTTGTATGCAGGGCAGTAATCTGGGTGGTCTGAGGGTGCCCACCTTATCAAGCCAGTGGACCGATATGCTGCTATCTGAAACGTGACGTGTCCTCTGCACTCGCTCCAGCTGTGAATAAGGAGCAGGTAAGTTCAGTGTGCCACACAGACACTGCACACTCTAATCTAACCAGTATAAATGGCTAATAACCCAGTCTGCACAGCCAAGAAGAGCCTGATGTGCTAAAGAGGAAAGAACGTTCTGCAGGTGCTCGCTGAGTCCACTGAAGAGTCCGCTGGACCGTGATGAGCCTCACAGTAGTCTTCACTGAACCACCGTCTTTACTAAAGAACCCTTGAGGAACCATCTTTTTTAAGCGTGTGTATAAAACAATAAGCATATGTTCTGTTCATGCTCAGTTCAGGGAACTATTTATGGAAAATGATTTGAGTTACTTAAACGGTTTAAGGCAAACCGCTTCCTCAAAGCATCTGAGTTTACTGAACTCAGTGTAATACCACCCTAAAACAGGGGTCGGCAACCTGCGGCTCTTTTGTTGCCCTGTTGTGGCTCCACAGCAGAATCAGATTAGTAGGTAAAAATAAAATAATCCTCCTTTACAGTAAAATAAAGCTCTGCTGATCATTCAACACAGTTTAACAATAAATGGTCTTAAACTCTGGAGTTAATGTAGAACTGCTAATTCACCCTTTAACCCTGAAGATCAGCGCAGACTGCTGGTCACCATAGCAACACAGACAAGTCTCGCCTAGCTAGTAGCTAACGAAACGGCAAAGAGAGAGATTTAAGACCAACATCGATAATTTGGAGATGAATGGACTTAGTGTTTATAATCACTCCAGCTGGTTTCCTGATACGTTTAATCTGCAACGACAAACTATCAAACAATAAAAAGTCACGAAGCTGAAGTCGCTTCTCATTCGCCAGCTTCTTGTTCAAATTATCCCGTTCCACCTTAAATGGTACAGCAGTTACATTCAGGCACCATTTAAGGTGGAACAGGAAAATTCTGACAAGAAGCTGGCGAATGAGAAGCGACTTCAGCCTCGCAAAAAGTCAAACTTTGAGAGACATTTTACAAGAAACTGTTCTACTTTAGAGGAAAAGTTTCCTGCCAGAGATGTGAGAAAAGCAGCTACAGCTGAGCTAAAGCTTAAAGCAGAGCAAAGTAAATCTGTGTTTTTGTTTATATTATTTATTATTTTTTATTTTTTATCCTATATTAGTACATCAGCACATACTGAGACATATTTACAGCCAAGATGGTAAAATGTTACTTCAGTAAAATGGACATAAAATGTTGTGGCTTCCAAGGTGGACTGATTATTGTTGAAAGGACAAAAAAATTGCTGATGCCTGGGCTAATTCAATAACACTGTAATATGATGGTTATGTCTGAGTGACAGTAAATGCTTATGATGTACACATTACACTCTGGAGGAATAGATGTTTTGCTTTTCTTAAACTCAGTTTAAAGCAGTCTAATAATCACATTTTCTTTATTTCAGAGAAGTTACACTGCAGACGTTCAGAGAACCCTGGGCGAGCTGGTGCACAAACAGCTCTGATTTCAGTTTAGCTGTTTTCCAAATGCGGCTTCCTGAACTTTATAAATGTTACTGCATAAACTGTGAGCAGTACCAGATGAAACGAGACACAGAGGCATGTGAAGAATGTGGACAGTGAGTAAATCTGCTCTGCACCAGATGGAACAACAGCTTCATGGAAATAAGACGCGCATTTTAGGTCTTCAAAGTAAACTGTAGATATGATGCTACTGTTTCAGCCAGACTCCTCCCCCTTCATTCATATTCATGCTTTAATGATGTCATATCTCAGTGTTTGTGTAACGAGATCAGCTAAAATCCAGAATGAAGCTGTGTGAGAAACTCTTCATATCAGAGTCTAAACCAAAAACCCAAACTAGGTTAATCTACAAAGCTGTTTAAAGTCTAATCTGCTCTCAGAGGAAGTTATACTCATGTCTGAGATACGAAACGTGGGAAATATAAAACTCACTCCAGAGATCAGATGCTTCTCCTGCAGGATCTGGACTGAGAGGACCAGTGTTCTGTGTGCTGGACCTACAGAGTAAAACATTCAGTCCAGTTAAACTCTGGATTATGTGAGCTCTGGGGCCGGATTCACGAAAGTGTCTTAAGAAAGAAAATCTTCTTAAACGTGTTTTTTCTAAACTTCATTCTTTAGAAAAAAGATAGAAACATACATACATCATCTAAACTGCTTATCCTTCTGGGTCGCGGTGGGGTGCTGGAGCCTATCCCAGCTGTCACTGGGCAGAAGGCAGGATACACCCTGGACAGGTCACCGGTCCATCGCAGGGCAGACAGACACATTCACACACACACTCACACCTAGGGGCAATTTTAGCATGTCCAATTGGCCTGACCGTGGGAGGAAACCGGAGTACCCGGAGGAAACCCACGCAGACACAGGGAGAACAGGCAAACTCCACACAGAAATGACCCCGGTCGCCCAGCCGGGAATCGAACCCGGGCCATTCGTGCTGTGAGGCAACGGCACTACCCACTGCCCCACCGTAAATAACCTCTTATGAATCCTCTTATTTTCTTTTCTGAACTATTTTCTTATGAATAATTCTAAGAACTAGCGTTATTCTTGAAAACATTGTCCTTAAATGTTTTCTTAGCCTTACGACAGACTCGCTGTCTCAGGCTGTGAGTGACGGGGTGAGAATCTAAATGTATCAGTTTATTACTCTGTCCATCCTCATCTCTTTCGTTCCACCGTCACCCTACAGTTATATTTTCCAAGGAGGATTTTTTCCTGTTGGCTGTTTCTTCCTCCATCACCTCTGGTTCTCGTTCGCTAAATTATTTTTAAACACTTGGTTTGATGTGTTTCCTCCATTTTGCTCCTCTGAGTGGATTAAACTGAATAACAGAAATAACAGTTAATACAAAATGTATCTCGCATCGTTTATGGTAAGCTGTAAAATGCACCTGCGTTTAAGAACATTCTTATGAACCTCTCAGTGTTCGTCTTAAGAACCTTAGATTTAGACATTAGAAAAATAACCCTAGCCTTCCCAAGTTTTTCCCTAAAAACGCTTTCGTTAATCCGGCTCCTGGTTTCTCCCTCGTTCAGAGTTTTTCCTGCTGAGACTTTATAATTAATTATATTCCCACCAGAGAGAAATGGGAGCTACGGCTCGGGAACACTCGTATCTGCTACTCCATAACAATATCAGTTATCTCAATAATTCTACAGACAACAACCGTTTACATTCACACACACATTGTGTATACATTGTATATATATTTTTATATATATATATATATATTTGCTGTCGGAAGAAAACCTCACATCTCTATTTTTGACGTTTTTCAGTTTTTGACGTAATGTGAAAATGCCCGTTGTTCTTTACATTGTGTGTAAATGTCATGATGAATGGACCAAAAGAAACGGCCCAAAATTACTTGGAAAATATTCTGGTTCCATTGACTTACATTAAAAGTAAAGTAAGTTTTTTCCTTCTCCTGTAAAGTTACCATTTTTTGAGATACGAGGTTTTGCAGACATGCGTGTCAAACTGGGGGTGTTCCAGTTCAAAGGTCTGTGGAGATCATCGTTTACCCTCATCTGATGCTCTGAACTCAGTTCATGAAGGTCTTGTTAGCTGATGAGCTGAATCAGGTGTGTTTAATGAGGCAGTGAGCTGAAGTCTGCAGAGTTTCGACCCGCGAGGACTGGAGCCTGACACATCATACATATAAAACACTTCTGTCGGAACAAAACCTCATATCTGTTTTTATTATTTTTCAGCTTTTGACAATGTGAAAATGTCTGTCTGGCAAGACTGTGCAGCGGGCCTGAACTGTGTTACGAGGAATTGACGACTGATAAACACATCCCGGGATGTATTAACTTATCTTCACGTAACAGAAAGCAAGAAAACATCTTGGGTGTTCAAACATTTGCATACGACTGTATGTTCTGAAGGAGTGTGCACAGGCACTCGGTTAACCACTCCAGGTGGGAATATTTGGATACTGAAACCACAGAAAGTCAGGGGGAACATTTCGCTGCTGTCGGAAAAAACATTTTTGACGTTTTTCAGTTTTTGACATAATTTAAATATACCTGTTGTTCTTTACATTGTATGTAAATTTCATGATAATTGGACCAAAAGAAACGGCCAAAAATGACTTGGAAAATATTCTGGTTCCATTGACTTACATTAAAAGTAAAGTATGTTTTTTCCTTCTCCTGTAAAGTTACCATTTTGGAGATACGAGGTTTTGTTCCGAAAACAGCGGCGATACACAGGCCAACAATTCAGACATACACTGTTAAGGTTTAATGTGGATGTAAAGTGTGAGATTTCACTCACGTTTAAGTACACACTTTTTTCTCTTCTTCCCCGCTGCTAACCAAACTTTAACAGATATTAAAATATTAAAATAGTCAGAATGCACATTCATATCTTTTAGCATATAGTAAAAACAACAATAAACAGCCCTGTAGGCAATTTACTGCCACAATAGAGGACGTGTAGTTAAAGGTCTGTGCAGCGCTGCTATCACTAAACCTGCTTTTCACTGATTGTGTAATTTAATACTTTTGTCGGTCATTTTTCATCCCCAGCAATTCACAAAACAAAATGACACCCATGTGTAAAAGCATGTGGTGGGTAGTTTCATGACGGGTCAGGTGCTGTAACTGTACGCAAAACACCTCAAATCCTATAACAAATGAGCATACAGAGTAATTTAGTGTATTTCAAGAAAACCAGCTCTGATCATTTGGTAAATATCTGTAAAACGCCTGAAAAGAAAACCGCAGAACCGAAAACCACTTTTAAAACAAAGAAAACCGCAAAAGAAAAGGAACAGTGATTTTTTTTTTTTTTACATTAGTTTTTTTAATAATTCATTGAAGTACATGGTTTAGGAATTACATGTTATCAATAAATGTGTACACAGTGAGTATTTTCTGGAGGAAAGAAACTAGAATGGCACTCACTACAACACAGATCAGACGAGATACAAAGCGTTCTACGTAACTTCACTGATCCCCGAACATAAAGACACTTGCATAAGAGCAAATCAGTCACAAATGGACCCCAAAGAAAATATACTGCAAAAAGGACATAAGGTATGAAAACATAAGGAAACATATATATTTATATATATATACTGTAGATTTTATTTAAAAAAACAAAAAAAGAAAAAAATAACAAAAAAACAAAAAGAGTAATACTTTGAGAGGTTAAGAGGTGTTTAGCTACTATCGTTACTGCGGCTGCTGCCACTGCTGAGATCGGGCCGCTCTCGTTTATGGATCTGCTCGTGTGCTTTGAGGTGGCCCGACTGGCTGAAGCTCTTCCCGCACTGCTGGCACGCGAACGGCCGCTCGCCCGTGTGGATCTGCTGGTGTGCTTTTAGATGTCCCAAGCGGCCGAAGCTCTTGCCGCACTGCGTGCAGCCAAAAGGTCTTTCCCCAGTGTGAATCTTCTCGTGCGTTTTGAGGACCCCTGAATTGCTGAAGCTCTTGCCGCACTGCAAGCAAGCGAAGGGCTTCTCGCCCGTGTGGATTTGCTGGTGGTTGCGGAAACTCATCTCCTTGGTGAAGGTCTTGCCGCAGTGCGAGCAACAGAAGGGCCTCTCTCCAGTGTGGCTCAGCTGATGGGCTTTGAGTTCCTTGGACTGGCAGAAGCTCTTCCCGCACTCCGTGCAGGTGAAGGGTTTCTCGCCCGTGTGCAGCCTCTGGTGCGAGCGGAGGTCGTCGGCTTTGGTGAAACCTTTGGGGCAGTGGGCACAGGTGTAGGGTTTCTGCCCCGTGTGGATGAGCTGGTGCCTCTTGAGGTTGCCCGCCTGCCCGAAGCTCTTGCCGCACTGGGAGCAGGTGTAAGGCCTCTCTCCGGTGTGAATGCGCTGGTGTGTCTTCAGGTTGCCCAGAGTGCTAAAGTTCTTCCCGCACTGCGTGCAGGAGAACGGTTTCTCTCCCGTGAGGTTGCGAGGTTTGCGCTGATTCGTGCCGTGGGTTTTTGTGCTGGTTTGCGTCTGTGCGTTCGGGCCTTTGCCCACCTGAGCGGACTGCAGCTCGTACAGGTGGCCCGCGGGAAACTCGGAGTCCAGCTTGCCCATGCCGTCAATGATGGCGTCGGGGCGGAGCTTGTTCAGCTCGGTGCGCAGCTCTGCCATGTGGATGGACTCCAGGCCGTTCATCTCCGACTTCAGGTGGCTGGACATGAGGTTGGGCTCGTACTCGGGTTTGAGGCACCCCAGTTCCGTGGCATAGTAGCACTGCAGGTCGGCGTGCTGCTCCGACTTGATGTACTCCATGCTGTCAGAGACGTGGGTGATGTAGTCGAACACCAGGCTGGGTTCGTAATGCGACTTGTAGGAGTCCAGCTCCGTGCCGTGGAAGGAATGTAGGTCGCCGTGGTGTTCCGACTTGATGTAGTCCAGGCCGCTGATCTCCATCTTGATCTGCTCTGAGCCCAACTCAGCCGTGCTGAGCGGCTGGATCTCGGACAGGTCCACGGTGCGGATGGGGTCCAGGTCCGGCTCGCTCTTCACGCACGGCAGCATGGCCATGGGCTCGGCGATCTCGGAGGTCAGGGTGCTGAGGGTGGGCGTGCTGCACCCCGAAGACGACAGCATGGTGAGGGTCGGGGGGCTGCACTCCGGACGCAGCGGGTCAAGAGGCGGCGTGCCGCACTCGGACGCCAGAGCGTTTAGTCCTAAGGCGATGCACTCCGTCTCCAGCTCGGCCATGCTGGTGGGGTCGAGTCCACCCGCCGACGAAAGCTTCCGTTCTGAGCGGGATTAGCTAGCTTGCACCGTGCTGAAAGTCAGCCTCCCAACAGGAGCGCCGCTATAGTGCCAAGGGCTGCCGAGGCCGCTTCTTCCTTGGGTTAGGAGCAGCACTCTTCCCTGTGGCTCCTGGGTTTGGGGACAAAAGCAGAACTATGGGTTACTCATAAGAAGCAGTTAGAGGTGGACTATGTTTATTGTTATTGTGATAAACTACAACAAATTATGTCACAACATGCTTCCCTGATCATATCATGGACATCATCAGAAGATGGACAGCATAATAAGGCCTGTTCAACTGGATGTAGCGCAGCACTGAATAAACATCCCTGTATTCAAATACAGCCCCTTCAAGACGCATGGAAGACAAGCATCAGGACTCTTCTCTGTCCTGGAGCTCAGGTGGTGGAACCAACTTCCACTCGCTATCCGAACAGCAGAACCTCTTACGGTCTTCAAACACAAACTAAAGACCACCTCTTTGTACAGAACGTGAGCGAGCACTAATCTAAATACCTACTGAAATGCATTATATTGCACTAACACTGCGTTTAATTCTGTATCTTTCTTTCTGCACTCTTAAAAAAGATGGTTCTTCATTAGTAAGGAAAATGGTTCTATATAGAAGCATGAACACTTAAAGAACCATTTGCATGCTGATAAGGTTCTCTGCCTCATGAAATTGTTGTTCAGATTAATGGAGAATGTATATTGTTTTATACAGTACATTTTTGAAAAGTGTTCTTCTATTGCTACTATTCTGACATCATAACAATAGAAGAACCCTTTTTGGTGCTATATAGAACCCTTTGCAAAAAGGATCTACACAGAACCATCTATAGCACATGCTCTGTCAATCTGAAGAACTCTTTCACAATGCAAAGTTTTTTGAGTGTTCATGGTTATATATATATATATATATATATATATATATATATATATATATTTATATATATATATATATATATACATATATATATATATATATATATATAGAGAGAGAGAGAGAGAGAGAGAGTTTATATTTATCTTATTTTTCACTTTTAGCATTATATATATATTATCTATACAGTAACAACAAAACCTAGTTAAGTAATTAAGTTTAATTATTTGCTTATTAATTATTTTCTTGTTCTTCTTTTCTTGAGTGTCCTGCTCTCTCTTTGCTGCTGTAGCACTGAGAATTTCCCTGTAGTGGTACTAATAAAGGATTATCTTACCTTGTACAGAACCATTTCTTTGCTAAAGAACCTTTGAAGAACCATCTGTTTTAAGAGTGTGAGTATCAGCTCTGGCTTTTGTTTCTCAGCTCAGGGGTAGTGTGGACTCTTATTTGTCCTAGCTATGATACGAGAACACAGCACTCTTGCTGTAAATATGAATGTATTTCACAGTATTTGACAGTATTTATTAAATGTGGCATTACTGGTTCTTTCGTATCTGTTCCAGCATCTCAAAGCTCAGAAAAATTAAATGCATACCGCAAAGATGTCCTGAAGTGTTGTGGTGTTATACGGCAGGGCAATACGACAATATGCACTTACATCACGGTACGTTTATATGAGTATATCATGAATGTCGTCAGCACTTCCCAACTGCAGGTTTGACAACGCAGAGCACAATAATTCCTATTTAATTGGATTTAGTGTAGCACAGCACGTACAGTATCACACACAAATTATTAGATTCATAGTTTTTGAGAGTATTTTTTTAACATTAGTCCGTCTCAACGTATCAGCTTTCAGAAAAAGTAAATACTGTGATATATCATGTATAGAGAAGACTTCTTTAAGTGTTGTAATTGCCATGTCACACAGCTTTTTGATGTTATACCTTCATTATATCAATCTCTCCTATTTAAATCACCTTTTGTTGTTGATTTGTCACATTTTCAATAATCCTCTGAACACACCTCACTGCAAATACCCCTGCATTACAGTACGTTCTCTGAATGTCAACACAAGTGTCAAATTGCTGAACTAGAGCAACAAAGCTAAATGTGTGCACACATTTTTCTTGTTTTTCAACGTGTTTCGTAGGTGCCCAGCTACCTACATGGAAAACTGCACAACACACATCAATAAGACTATTCTGAGCCAAACATATGAACCATGCTGTTCAGGCACTCGATAAACTCTTAGAAAACATAGATTTTATCTGTTAAACACTCCAGCTATCAAAGCTAAACCCTCAGTGTGGTTTGGTGGGTGCATAGAGCAGCCTGGCATCATAATTAAAGGGGAATTCCACCAACTTTTCTAACTTTCTCTATAATTATGTGGTTAAGATGTAAACAGAGTCGCTCAGAGTGGTTTGGTGTGAAACGCTCCGTTCTAGAGTCAGAACTGTTCACAGTGGTGGTGATAGGAACCAGACGTCCACCTCTAAAAGCTCCCTCACAGAAAGTTACTACATGAAATGGTTATGAATTCACTGCCTGATGACTGAGACACTGTTTTAGGATAGTTTTGAAACAATTTCAGACTTTAAATCCATTCATGGTGGAGGGATACGTAACATGCAGGGCGCTGTGAGGCAAAACAGTCCCCAAAGAAAACTTATTTTTTCAGATTTTCCACTATTTTACCATCATTAATATTCCACATAAAGACTCTGAAGACTCACTGATCATTTTGGATAGTAAACAAAATGCCTATATTTGCATTTCTGACATTGCGACCCCCGGTTCCTATCACCACCACTGTTATGAAATCTTAATTCATAAGATTCTTTACAATTAACCACTTCACACCACAACAATCTGAATGACTTTGTTTACATCTCAAACACTGAATTATGGTGGGATTATTCATTAAAAAATCGCTGGAATTCCTCTTTAAGTGAAAGCAAGGCCAGATGTTGAGCTCACTATTAATATTAACGGTGTAACAGTGTAATTACGCATATTGTGGATAACCGAGCCTCACTAGTGCTCATTTCCAACCCGACAGGGTGTTATTTTGGAGAGATGTGCAGGAGAAATGGGCATTTTTTGAGTTTTATTTTGAGTATTCACACCTCCGCCGTGCATCACACATTCTGTCTTTCCTTTTTCCTCACAATAAACCGCCGTTAGCTCCGCGGCTAGCGGCGGCGCCGAGAGCCCCGGCTGCTGCGCCGTGCTGTGAGCGATGTGAGGGGATATAAATCGTCGTGTTTGTGTTTTAATACTCGTTTCTGGTGTTCTGGCGGTGGAAGCCACAGAAAGGCAGCGGGTCTCGGTGCTTTAGCCAGTGGCCATCTTGTTTATGGCTAACGTCGCTTAGCTTAGCTCCAGCTGCTAGGCTAACGGCAGCGGCAGCGGCGCTAGCCTGTTAGCATTAGCGCTGAGGTGAAGTTCGGCTCTGCGTTCCGCGCGCGCTGCAACTTCTATACGCCGACAGTTTATAATTCCGCAATTTTTAGCGGAGCGAAAGAATTGGGCTTCATATCTGAGAAGACGGAGAGATGTTCACTCATCAAGGGCCATTCACAACGAGGCTGAGGTCGGCTCCTTATTCGCCAGCTTCTTGTTCGAATTCACCCGTTCCACCTTAAATGGTGCAGCAGTTACACTCAGATGCCCGAGGCGCCACAACGTAACTGCTGCACCATTTAAGGTGGAACGGGTGAATTCGAACAAGAAGCTGGCGAATAGGAAGCCGACTTTCACGTCCCTACATGCACAGATGCGAACCTGGCACGAACAAAAAGATGCAAATGAGCCCGATTGTGATGTAGATGCGGCAGAAACGCGGCTCCGTTAGTTTCTTACCTGCTTTCTCTCCGGTTCATGTTGTTTTTCTGTTCTGGCCCTCCGTTCGCCTGCAATCTGGAGCGCCACGTCCTCCTCCTCCAGCAGCAGACTCTCCCTCCTTCTTCTTCTTCTTCACTCTCTCTCTCTCTGTCCCTCTCTCTCTCTCTCTCTCTCTCTCTACGCTGCTGCTGCTGCTGCTGCTGCACGCGCTGCTTCCGTCGTGAAAATATAACCTACTTCCGACTGAAAAATGTAGGTTTCTGGGTTCCGTCGAGGACCTGGCGAGAAGAAAGCGCGGCCTGAATATCTAGAATGAGCATTTTAGACCCGGTGTAGACCTCCTGGTTCTGCAGCGGTGGGCCACGTGCTGCCAAAGCATGCAAATAGAGAATGCAGATGTTGTGCTAAAGCATGCAGATGTTCTGCTGAAGCACGCAGATGATGTTCTGGTTTTGTTCCATTGAAGAACACAGATGTTCAGCTAAAGCTTTTCTGCTGAAAAATGCACGTTCTGCGAAAGAACCAGGATGTTGCAGATGTTCAGCTAAAGCATGGAGGTGTTCTGCTAAAGAACGCAGATGTTCTGCTAAAGCATGCAAAATGTACTTCTAGAACATGCAAATGCTCTGCTAAAGAAAGCAGATGATGTTCTGGTTTTGTTCCACTGAAGAACGCAGATGTTCTGCTAAAGCTTTTCTGATTAAAAACACATGTTCTGCTGAAGAACGCATACAGATGCAAATGTTAAAGAATACAGATGTCCAGCTAAAGCATGGAGGTGTTCTGCTAAAGAACGCAAATGTTCTGCTAAAGAATGCAAAACGTTCTACTAGAACGTAGATGTAGATATTCTGTCAAAGAACACACGTGTTCTGCTAAAATATGCAGATGTTCTACTACAGGTTTTCTTTTGCTGAGAAACGCAGATGTTCTGCTAAAGAACACAGATGTTACATTAAAACATACAGATGTTCAGCTGAAGCATGGAGGTGTTCTGCTAAAGAATGCAAATGTGGTGCTAGAACATGCAGATGTTCTGTTAAAACAGATGTTCTGCTGAAGCATGCACTCAATCTTTCTGTTAAATCCAGCTGAGATGCCAACATCACACAGCAGCCATCAGACGGAAGGCGAGAGAACGTCAGGCTGGTCTGCGTTGCCTTTAGCGACGCTCATCTTAGCTGAATTACAGTCTAGGCCATATTTTACTGAACGTCAGTAACGTTTCTCCTGTTTGAGCTGCAGATGTTGGAGGCCAGCAGGTAATTAGAGTTTGTAGAGAAACCTGGTTCATTACTATGCAGCCGAATCTAAACAGAGCCTAAAGACGGCTCTAGCATTATGAAAGGTGTGGATCAGTTCTGAGCTGTTTGTTTTGGCTTCTGGAAATAGGTGATTTGTGTCCTAAGGTCTGCAGAAGGAGCTCTAGAAGAACAACAAGAGGGAATCCACTTACAACCCTGTTTCCAAAAACGTTGTGATGCTCTAAAATAGAATGCAATGATGTGCAAATCATTTAAACCCTATATTAAACTGAAACTGACTCCTGCATGGGCTCAGGAACACTTCTGAAAACCACTGTTTGTAAAAAACAGTTCATCACTGCATCCATAAATGCAAGTTAAAACTTTACCATGCAAAGAAGAAACCAAATATAAACAGGATCCAGAAACACCGCCACCTTCTCTGGGCCTGAGCTCATTTAAGATGGACTGAGGGGAAGTGGAAAAGTGTCCTGTGGACCGCCAAATCAAAATTAGACATTTTTTTTGGAAATGTAGATATATTGGTATATTGGTAGATATATTGGTTTTTGAACATGAAATTTAAAAGACAGATTTGAACTTTACTCAGGATCGTACAAACTGACGAACACCCCCCCCCACACACCCACACACTTATACATAACAATATGAGACCATCTCCCACCTGCTGTTCCAGATTATGTCTGTGACACTGTTTAAATATAATTACTGCATTTCACTGAAACACTTCACTTGATATAACTTACATATCTGACTTCTTGCATTTTTGCACATTTTACTTATTAAACAACAATGTTATCTGCTAGAATTACTGCATCAACCAAACACTGTATACTGTATATTGCTGTTCTGGTTGTTACCTCAGTGACTGCTATGCTCATATATGCTAGGCTATCTGCTAAGCTGCTAATATGTCATAGTATGTTCCATCCTCCTTTGCACAGCTGCACTTACTCTCAGTACCGTGTACTGCCTGTGCTCTGTTTCATATTTATTTATTGTTCTGTATTGTCTGCACAGTGTTTATTGTATTGTCTTGCACTTGTGTTCCTGTGTTGGTCCTGGAGGAATGTTATTTTGTTTCACTGTATACTTATATGTAGTTGAAATGACAGTAAAGCCTCTTGAACTTAAACTTGGTTCTGAGAGCGCCGCAACAACACTGTCAAAATTTTGCATGCAAGGAAATGAGACACAAACTTGTGTTGAGTTAATCTAAATAAATGTATCACAAAAATCATCAAGTTCAAATCTGCCTTTGAACTTTCATGTTCACAAACTGTAATACATCTACAATTCAGACTACATGTAAGGTACAGATTTCATGGCACATTTTACAACTGTGATTCTGGTAGCAGTGCAACAATACTGACAAAAGTTTGCACGTAGCAAACTGAACCGCAAACTTGTACAAGTTGATCTGAATGAATGAAAACTAAGCTCCCGGACAAAAAAATGAGTCACCTTGCGTGTTTAGGGTGGTAGTAACTTCAGGCTCCTGCAGATGGTGTTTCACAAGGATGATAAGGCTATAAATCCCTGCAGGTGTGTGACGGGATTCATAGATTGAGAAAAGGTGGTACAGTGCAGTGAATGTCTCGTTTGATGTGTGGAAAATGGGTCACAAAGCAGATGTTAATGATTGGCAAAAAGGAGTGATTGGATTTGGGCCAAAGGCCACAGTGTGAGGGAAGTAGCTGAGTAGTAGCTGAATCGAAGTGTCCAATCATACAGGTCAACCAGCAGTGCCAAAAACCCCAGTCTACAGGAAATTCCCATCAGAATTGTGGCTGAAAGACCAAACTGATGGACAGGGACCGCCGGCGTGTTTTACGGCTTGTGAATAAAAATCGCTTTGCTTCCAGGCAAGAATTGCTTCTAGAAGTCTATGCAGGTTCTTCACAACCAATTTCTGAAAGAACCTCCACAGGAAACTGCAAACCGCACATACGGAGCAGAGCTACAGTGGACGAAAAGACACAAACACTGGACTGTTCATGACTGGAAACATGTTATCTGGTCAGATGAATCTGGTTTCTGCCTGTGTGTGAATGATGCTTGGCGTCGTGTTCATCATAGACCTCAGGAAGCCTCAGTGAGGACTGTGCAGGTGTGGTTCTGGAGGAGCTCTGTGATGTTCTGGGCTGTTTTAATTACACTGAAATGGGTTCTTTGGTTGAGGTAAGTACATTTGAACCACAGTGCCAACATTGAGCTGCTGGACAACCAGGTTTTGCCTTTTGTTCTTCATCTTACCGGAACATAACATTCCTATCCCTGTATTCCGAGATAACAGTTCTCGCGTTCACAGGGCTGCAGATGTGACTGATTGGCATGATGAACATTCAGGATCATTCACACATCTGGACCGACCCACAAAATTCCCAGATTTGAATCCTCTTGAAAATCTGTTGGGCGACCTGGAACAACAAGTGAGACGGCAGGGAAGGCTCCACGAAATCTGTCTGAACTACACAATTCTCTGATAGAAGAGTGGCTGAAAGTTGATGTCGCCTACATCCAGAAACTCGTCCAGTCCATGGCAAATCGAATCACAGCGGTTATTCGTTTTTACAGTCTATTAGGTGCGTTTCAGTCACAGTCATTTTTTGTCCGGTAAGCTTATAAAACATAGGCAAAATGAAAATCTGCACATCTGAAAATGGAACTAAATGCACTAAGAGCCCAAGTAAAATTACTCACCTAACTGACTTTTTATATTTGCTTTTTAATACAGAAGCTGTATAATATAGAAGCTGATATATGCCTTCAAGTCACAATATCTGAATATGACGTTTTGGCTCAAATCTAACTCATGTCTTTGTACTATTTTCTATTAAATATGGGGTTTTAATGGTTTGCCCATCACTGCGTTGTTTTTATTTACGCTGTGCACTAATGGAGTTCTACGTTACGTACGTTAGTGCAGACGTACAGGTCTGCCAGAGCGCTCTGTTAATAAATCAGTACGTAATGCTGGGGACGGTGCCGAGTCTGCACTTCCTGATTAGGCCTTTAACTCGGAGTCACAGTGGCCTCATTCAGAATCCCATATGGTTTTCACACCACTGGAGGCTCAGCCAGCTCTGCCTCACCAGACTGGCACCGGTTCCAGCTGACTCTGCTGTTTCTGAGCCGCACGCCTCGCTGTGTGTTCACTGTCTCAACAGCATCAACACAGCAGCTAACGCTAAAAGCCACCTACAGAGAAACTTACACTGGCAGCTACTGCTTAAATACACTCTTAAAAAGATGGTTCTTGAAGGGTTCTGTAGTAAAGGCAATGGTTCAGTTTAGAATTCTGAGTTCTATATAGAACCATTTGCATGTCTAAATGGTTCTCTGCATGGTGAAATGGTTCTTTAGATTGATGAAGTATGTGTTGTATATGGTTGTGTTTTGAAAATGGTTCTATACAGCACCAAAAAGGTTTTGCTATTGTTACGATGTCAAGTTTGTAACAATAGAAGAACCCGTTTTGGTCCCGTATAGAACCATAAACATCACATTGTCTATTAGTCTGAAGAACCATTTCACCATGTAGAGAACCTTTTAAGCATGCAAATGATTCTTTGAGTGTTCATTGTTTTATATAGAACCATTCCCTTTACTAAAGAACCCTTGAATAACCATCATGGTGAAACTGTTATTCAGACTTATGGAGAATGTGTTGTTTGTGGTTCTATATAGCACCAAAAAGGGTTCTGCTATTGTTACCATGTCAAGTTTGTAGCAATACAAGAACCCTTTTTGGTGCTATATGGATCCATTTTCCATCAATCTGAAGAATGATTTCACCATGCAAAGAACCATTTAAGCATGCAGATGGTTCTTTGATTGTTCATGGTTCTATACAGAACCATTTCCTTTACTAAAGAACCCTTGAAGAACCA